ATTATTATTATTATTATTATTATTATTATTATTATTATTATTATTATTATTACAACAATCTTAACTTCTTTACCTAGTATCAATTTTTTATCAGGGTGAATACTTAAAAAGAAAAAATATAGAACATAATATTATGTATAAAACAACGATTTTATTTTATTGTGCTACACAGTACCAATTATTAATTTTTAAACAATATTAATAATTATTATGTAATACATAATGATGATTATTATTTTGCAATATACGAGTATATATATATAAACCACAACGCCAGACTAAGTGTTAAATATTATTATTGTATCGATATGATTTTATACATTACCATAAACCATAAAAATATATTAATATATATATAAGCGCAACACTTTTCGTCAATGTTTTCATCCCCTTCTTCTATAACTTGTTAAAAAAAATTACTGGTTTTCGACCGTGAAAATATTTTTTACCGGATTGGTTATGGTTTACCTACTATAGCTAAATTTTATATTATCTAAGTAGTTATTTTGGTGTATCATCGGATAATTATTCACTGTTATGTTAATTTCTTACACACACACGTCCATAAGCAAACAAAACATAGATTTTATTAACCAAATAACTTTAATAAAAATATACTGTAGCTATTTATAATTTTCATGTGTAATATTAGTATACATTTTTTTTTTTTTTGTCAGCCGAATAGTTATTATATCATATTTTGGGTATTTATATTATACATAACAGAAATAATTACAATCATAATTTTTATGTGAATCATCTGTAACATGTACCTTTTTTTTTTAAAAAAAAACATTATGTTTTTCTTCAAAAAATATTAATCCAACTACCTCAATAGCAATTGATTCTGCAATAATTAACGATTTCGTTAAGTTACAAATTATTTATTAAAAATGATTAATAATAATAATTTAAAAAATTATAATATTGTGTTATTATATTATACATAAACATTGTAGCTATTATATATATATAATATATGTATGACAAAATTAATTAAGACAAAACATAATAATATTTAATTTCTATTATTTCAATATTTTAGACGTACATATTATTATATATAAAAAAAATAATAAGAAAACCAAAACCAACAAAAATAATATATATTTTTAAATAATTATAACTATGTTTTTATTAGTCAAAATTATTGGATGTGTTGACGAATTTTTCAATGTGCAATGTGTATTTCGTAAAAATTATGTACAATTCGAAAATGAATATACTGTGTTAATAATATGTAAGCATATAATGTAAAATATTGTTTTTAATTTATTTGCGCGCCATTTCTGGTGCATCGTTCCCGCATTGATACAACTGTCCGCAGTTCGATCCGCTCCGACCTATCCTCTCAGCCGTCTCCAAACGTTGTTTGAATTCCTCAGGAATTTGATCATTTTCAACGACTTGTGCAATGGTTCTGTTGAAAAAAAACCAACGATGAAAAAAAATTTGTCAAAGATATACACCGAGTTATTAACGCTCGTAGTGTTCACCTAATTATATAAAATAGGTGTGATTTTCAATATTATGTAGATGCTAAAAATAACGAATAGCCCAAGCCCCAAATCAATGTTCTTATTGACATAACTTTTGGTATAATTGTTTATTATAGTTTTAATTATTATAAATAGATTCGAGTTGGACGTAGGAACATAAACGTGCACAAACACACGCTATATTGACAAACAATAGTAAAGTACCTATTGAAAATGAATGTGTTTAAGTACTGTAATTCTGTTCCAATATCTGGCCTAGAATACCTATTTTGCTTACCACTATAACCAATATTAATTAAACCATTTAACGAACGTATTAATCACGCAGGATATTCATTGAAATATCACATAAAATAAAATTGTGTTAAATATTAGGCAGAAGCCAGAAGCATTATAGTGCTAACTAAAGAGTATAAAAGTAAATAGTAGTTAGTAGTTACTAAACACTAGTTTAGTCACATTTCTATTCCCATGGTCCATACAGCATGCCAAGGATAATATAATAAAACGATGTATAATTATAACTTATAACTGGTATATTTTTGTTCCAATCGAATTACGTAACTTATTTTCGTCTATACAGTTGTAACATCTAATATCTTGTACACCTAAAAATTACGAAAAATTATTTTCTTAAAAAAAAATTTTAGATAATAATCAACTAATGACTACACCGACTATGCCTTGCATATGCATATGACTATATGAGGAAGTATGAATAATAATAAATTTTCAGTCATGTTATTGTTTTTATGAAAAAAAAGATACTTACCGGAAAATTCAAAAGTGAATTTCCTATGATAATAATTTAGTAGTAAATTTTTAGACAATATCGCTTTACATAGATTGCATAAGTGTGATATTTGGTTCTTTTTCAAAAGAAAAAGTTGGAACACTATACAACGTAAGACTAACCTCCGTTTAGTATTTAAATTATTATAGTACTTTGAAATATAAAGATTGGTTTGTTTAACTAGTACCTAATAGTAGTAACATAAATCAACAGAGCCTATAACGAGTAAAAACTAAAAAGATTAATGAATATTTTAGGATAGGATCGGGCTTTAACTTAAGTTCCAGGACTGAATATTCAACTGCTGGTCGTACAGAATAAATATTGAAACAAGTAAATCAGTTACATCAGCGCGCTCTGGTTGTATACTTAAATCGTTCAGAACAGATTATTTAGTCAGATTACACTGGTGCATGTCAAAAATTCATTTTAAGAAAATAAAAAATAATTTTGAAAAACAACGATAGTCGCTACCCTTTTGCCATAAGTGTGCTCAAATATTATCAATAGCCGATAAGATAGTCATTAATAATAAATAAGCTTTCAAATTTATACTTAAGTTTTTTTTTTAAAAATGTTCAGGAAAGATACTTAATATTTTTCCAACTACTGACTACTATTAATTATACCATCAAACGCATTTATAATAAACCAACCACAAAAGATATGTACCTACGGCAATATCAAAATTATCAATAGTCCTTACATTCAAAATTTCAAACGTAAAATAATAATTTATTTTCAAGCAATTTTTGTTACTTTGCTACAATTCAAAAAATAATATTCGTAAAAATTTTAAATATTTTACTTATATTTTAATTATTCTTTATCAACAATGACATTCAAAAAATATTTAGATTCATTTTTATCTATTTATACCATGTAATAATTTATATCATTCTAAGGTACGTTAGTATTGATTTATATAAGTAAATAATAATAAAAAATAGTATTAAAATAATTATTGTATAATATACACATTATTATGATGTAATATTTGTAAAAAAATTAGGTCAACATAAAGGAAATATATTCTTTACAGAAAAAAAATACTAATTAGAGTAATGTAAATAAATTATAACATTTCCACTCCACTCGTCATCATTCAGAATTGTTTTTCGTATGCAATTATTTACCATTGAATTCAAATTTAAGACATCCAAAACAGTATTAATACTATGTACCAATCTACTAAATGATGAGGTATACATTCTCCAACCCCACTTTAGGTGTAGCTGAGCTATTTACCTAGTTTAAATAAAAAAACATATTTACGTAATTTAAAGACGTATAGAATATGAGTAATGTAATAATAGGAATGAACCGCCTATCCGCTGTATAAAATAAGTAATTGGAAGCTTACGCGGTTAACAATCGTTTGTCTGTTTCTGATCCGTCTGGTCCATTCCGAGACATTACTTCGCAGATGGATCTCTCGACGCAAGTGGACTTTTGATGATAAATGTTCGCCACCATATTGCATACTAGACACGCTTCTTGTTGATTTTCCCTCCGTCGTTCCTTGTCACCGAACTGCATAAAAAAATATTTAAATGTTATACTGTAACTAATTTTTGATAATGTATCCTTATTAGATATCCTGCAAAAAATGTATACCCTCAGGAATTTATTCCTTGGTTTTTGTTGCATTTTTTACAATAAACTGTTACTGAACATAGACGATGTGTTTTTCTATTTGTATAAATACCTAATGTATCAATTAGTTTGTTTATATAAGTTAATATTTATAATTTATAATTTCCTCAGATATATTAAGTTTCACCAATGGGTAGGTAGCTACTTTTCTCGCGTATTTCTTGTCAAAAAAAAAAAAAAACCATTTACGTATATCCGCATACATCCTTATTGTAATAATTAAATTACTGATTGTTTGTTTTAAAATAAATTTAAAATAATAATAATAATAATAATAATAATATTATATAAACATTAAATGTTGTTTCAGGGGTAACCTGTTATTTATGAATAAATATCTACTATATAAAACGTAACTGAAAAAATGTAAAACGTCTGTTCTGGAAGACTTACTTGGAATATTACTTTTATTGTCCAACGTTATAAAAAATATTTATGCAGATGTATAAATAACAGTCTCCGCACTCCTTTTTAAATAATAATTATTAGACTATATTAATAGTTTGGATTATAAAATCCATTAAATGATTAAACCATAAGTCTACAACTCGAGGCGCTTGAGTATACATCATGGACATCGGTCGACCCAACATCTACACAAACTTTATTTCAGAACAGTGCATACATGTGGACTTTATGAAATGACAACTTACTATACTATCATGGTTTTAAAGCACTACGTAGAATTCTCGGGAAATATTTGGAGAAGTAAAAAATAGTTGAAAAATTAAAAAAAAATCATCTAAAAAGGGGTAAATATATTATATATATTTAGAAATAGAAATACGTTCAATCAAAAAGAATTAGTATACTTCACTTTGAATCTGAATTCGTAAAAATTGTCAATAATATCAATACTTATATGCGTGTGAAATTGAAGTGCGCATAAATTAGTAGGTAAAATTACCTAATTTACCTATGGAAAAAAACAAATTTTCACTTTGAATCACTACCCAGTGATCCTATCCCACATCAGGTAACAATTTGCTTATATCAATATGAGTGATGACAAAAAAAAAAAGTTTATCATTCAACGGAATCTTATTGAACCAACGCAACCAATTGATAGAATAATGATAAAACATAATTAAAGACGTCAAAAGTATTTATAAATATACATGTTTTCTTAAAGAAGTCACGCCTGCATTCTACAACTTTCTTAATGTATATTTAATACCTACGTCACTATATTTCCATGTTAAACGACTAAATGCGAGTGTGGTTCTGTTTTCTTGAAACGAGTAGATATAAGTAAAAGATATTATTTTGTTGATCAACACTATAACAATAAATAATATAAATGCTGATTTTTATTCATATCGTTTACAAATTAATATTCAAGGTTCTACTCAAAACACTCGGATCTAGGAGAAAACGAGCAATGACGAATTCGGAGGTGAAATGTATAGATCGGATAAAATATAATTAAGATATATCAGCTTGATGTCAGAGAACCGCACAAACTGATTTTGGAAAAGGTTTTATACTTCATAATATATTTTATATATTATAATATAAAGCCAGCAAGTGCAAATTTGTATACAATCAAGTTGTTACTTGTTTTTATGTATGGAAATTATTTCAGCGCACATATCCTAATAGAATTCACTGGTTTCTATATATTGGACTGCAGTGTTGTTTTAATATATTATAGTGATTATTATACCACTTACCTATACACATAATTGTGTACAGCTGACCACTATGGATGGAAAATAATTATTCAAAAACTTCTCTGAAGGTAGGTTTTGCACAATAGACACTAGTGGTTTTAGAACCTACAATTTATCATGTATGGAACTTATTATCTGCATTCATAAATAGTTATATGGTTAATTAAATCGTAAATACGACGCATCGATCGATCGGATAGATAAAATCCAAAGGCACTCCTCTGGGTTCCGACAACACCATAGAATCGTATGCTGATCGTACGAGATTTACCGGATAGGAGTGCCATAAATAGTTTTTCTTTTTTTTTACATTAGAAACTACAAATAGAAAAAAATAGGTCGTTTGCGCGCCGGTCTAATAGATGTTGTTTATACGCTGTGCCCCACGAGGCGGAATAGTAATAATTTTAGTAACGGAATCGTTTTAAACACACGAATTACCATTGTCGTATCTCGTATCTATTCGTGTACACAGAGTGATCATATTGTTTTAAGCACGACGCTGATTTTTCAACTTCTTTATTAGTATACTTTTTTGGGAAGTACGAAACGTAATTTACATGTTTAATGAATTCTTTTTGAATTTTGTTTTTAACAAAAAAATTAAACAACACAATATTTTGTTTTAAACTTTAAATAACGTAAAAAATTAGTTGTATGTAGGTAAATAAAAATTGATCATCATGAATTCAAAAAGACCTATAAGCTATTTTTAATTAAATTTTGAATACAATTATTATTACTTTTTTTAATCTTTGAATATTTCGACTTAACTAATCAAAATAAAATTTATTCATTTACATGAATTATTATTAGATTGATTATATAATATTAATTATTTAATTTATTTGTTTTATCAACTTTTCTTCTACTAATCTAAAACCTAATATATAGCACAACAGAAAAGATATACGCTTTAGATTTCAATGCGAACAAAAATATATATGTATGTATAAGAATTATTCATTCAATATTATCATATCATTATTCTAGACAGTATTATTTTTGAATTTATTTATTTTTTTTTTATTATTATTATTTTTAGAAATTTATAAAATTTATAGATAAAAAACTATAGGTTTAAAAATTGTTTGATATATGAAGAATATCGTTAAAGTATTGTCTTATATGTATTAAGTATTAAAAATATGGGGGTTGTCGCAGGAAACCATGTTATGAAAGATTCAAAAATAAAATATTTTTTGAAAAAAATTTTTTTTTTAAATTTTTAAAATAAAATATAAAAGAAGAGAAAATAGATAACCACTAAGTTACACAATATGTTTTGAGTGTACTTCGTCGTTAAGTAAATCACTGTAATATATGTGTTAAATTTAAATTCAATAATAAATCATTTCATACGAAAAACGATTCTAAACGAAAACAACACATCAATCTATAGTTATATTTTATGAAATGTTGTTATTATAGTAATTTATTTTGTTATTAGTAATTCAGCAGTTTGAATTAATTTTTGTTAAAAATTGTATTTATTACATTTAAAAAAAAAAAAACATCTGGAGAAAATTTCAAGTATCTACGAGTATTTATTTTTAAATTACAGAAAAATCAAAAAATCGACGTAGTCAAAAACTTATTTTGTGTGAAAATTCTCGTTTTCCCTAATTTTTTTTATTTTTTGTTTTTTCGATTACTCAAAAAAGTAATAGCAATTGTTAATTTTTACCTCCCAAAGTTACCTACCCACAACTTGATTAACTTTTTACTAGAAAGAACGTCGAAGTTAAAAATCAAAATTTTTTTTCTACTATAAATCGTATATACATTGTAAAAACAATACATAAATCGTTTCATTTTTAGAAATAAATAAAAAAATAAAAGAAATTGATCATTAAAATAATAATGATTTTCTCAATATAATCACCCTGTATATATTACAGGTTACACGTGTACACATACCTATTAATACGATGAATAAAAAATACATGACTCATTATAATTTATATTATTAAATGTAATTGACGATGGACACAGCTCATAGATATTCCAATATTCATACTATTTCTAATTTATATATATATATATTATTATATACAAACGTGTATAAATACAATGAGTTTAGAATGTTAGGAAATGGGTACTTAAATGTTTTTATGGTAATTGGATTGGACTAAAGATTATGTTACTTGATTACATGCAAGATGATACTATATAAGATCCTTAATTTTGTATTGCAGTGTTGCATACGATTTTAACAGTTTATATTTTACTTATTTTATACTGATAAACTGGAATACAGTCAAGTGTTACCATATATTATATACATTTTTACCATTACTACATGTTTGGATTTTACAAATGTTAAGGCACACTGTGTTAATATATCATACACACACACACACTCAACATGCATATTATAACCATTAAACAACTAAGTCTCTGAAATTTCAATGACGGCTAGATAATAATATTGTAAATTTGACCGGTAAATGGAATATTATGTTCGTATAAGGTCAACAATTATACTATTTTATGTGTCTAGCTATGATATTCATGACGTTGCTATTTAGACGACCGTTAATATAATAATAATAATTATTATATGTTAATGCTTAATGATGTTTAATAAAAAAATCAATTTTAATGATGTTTTATATATACGCCGTAATCCGATGAACACATTACAAATTATAAATATTGACGCCACTGAAATTAGTTGTCGTCTAGCGTATGAGTGCGTGACTGGTGACGATAAAACAAAATTATATGTGTATAATTGTTACATAATTGTAAAAAATAATTAATTCAGTTGAACTCAGCCGGTTGAATTTAGCGCACCGACGAATTCACGATAGTATTGCTATAGCTAACTACCTAGCTCAATATGGTATATCGCCGTTAACCGCTTCAATTTCTATCCAATATTTAATAGAAGTTGATTTTATAGCGATTTATTATTAATTTATTTATTATTATTATTATTTTTTTTTTTTTACTTAAATTAATGTACAAATTTCAAGTAATATATTTCAATATTATTGTCTGTTTCGCCAAACGAGACCAAAATCGGTTTTGATTCATCGAATTTAAAAACCATTATTTGCGAATGATTATTACTACCTACAATACATTTTACCATGTATTCATAGTAAAATAATTGTTTGGGTAAATACGCAAAAATATGAACAGGTATCGTATAATTAAATTTAATTATATATAATTTAATCATAAATTAGTCATAAATAAATCGATCGTATTATTTAGCAGAATTTGTGGTATCACTATTGATTAGATTATAATTTATTTATTTATATATCAAAATATGGAAGATTTTCGCGAAACCGTTGTTTTATAGGTTCTTATAAATGAATGCTTGTAGTTATATTCTTGTTGTTTTTCGAAAAATGAAATCGTATGCGAATCTCGTTGTGGTAAATAAACTATACATACTGCTCAATGGTCATCTCCGTATTAAGAAAGTCGTTTTCTCCTACATTTACGACAAAAATTATAGGATTCTGTAATAGTGTGGGTGTTAACAGATGAATGAACAGAAACGATATGAGCTAGATTCGGATAACGTGGCCGCTACAGCTGAATACATATATGTACAAGAAACAGCACGTTATTTCACGAATTCCGGTTGACGTGAAATAAGCTTATAAGTCATAGGTTTGCTCTTCGTTGCCGTGATTAATAAAAATATTATATACATATTTTATTAATTATACATTTACTATGTGCAGTCGTAAACATGATTTAATTTAATTGTATGGTTGTGAACAAAATTCGTATACTTTTGTGATCCACAAATATCGTTGTACGCGACACAATCGTGAATAAACAATGATTAGGTACACACGAATAAATAATAGGTACAACTGCGGTGTTTGGAGTGCATCCCTATGGTATGTAAAATGTTTAAATGTATACCTTTTCCAGAAGCGATTTTATCGTTTCTGCGGCAATTCCTTCGTCTCCGTCATTCGCGTCTCTCCTGCGACGGCGGCCAATGTGGCCCAACTGCAACAGCAAAGGGGTTTTGACAAGGGCTGATAGCACTCCGAGAAGTGCGACTCCAGCCAAAGGCCACAGCAATGGCTGTACGTTCAATTCTCCAGGATTATGGGTTTCTCCGCCGCCGTGCTGATGATGATGTAGATGGGAGTTGGGACGCTGATGATAAATCATCTCTGGCGGAGGTCCGATACTCTGCAGGTGGTGGCCGACCTGATCGTAAGGATTAAAGTACTCAGGTCGTTCATCGTAATAGTAATCCCTGGGTGGGCCATAAGAGTTTTCCACTGGGTAACCGCTCACTGAACCACCACTGTAATCTGTTTTAAGCACAGGATCTTTATGTCAGTGCAAGGTATACTAGTATGCATTATTTTTGAGCAAGACTGTTAAAAAGATGAATTTATGCGGAAGACGATCGTGATCGTACTTAAACTTTTCGATAATTCATATAACCAATTTATCATAACATACAAAGTGGTCACTGGTTCAAAAAACCTGCTTATTTATTTTATACATGCATTTATTTTAAATCTTATTTTTAAAATGTTTAAGTATTATAGACTATATTTTCAAATGCTATGGATGTCTTGTAAAAAACTCATTTTATTAAAATAATAATCACCCTTAAAATAATTTAGTAAATACTTAATTGTAATTCCACGTGATTTTTTTAAATATTTTTATACTTTTATATTTAATAAAATCCGAAATAGTCTACTAATGTTAAAAAACATTAAGCATAATTATTTTTAATATTGGTTCACGTAAAATATAGTATAGAACTTGTAAACATAAATATTCAATCTAGCATTATTATGCTTCGAAAATGTTTACAAACAATAAACTTTAATATATAACTTTCATAATGTTAAACTTATTATCATAAACTATTATCCTTAATATATATAAAGTTTAATAATTTTAAAATTATTTTTTTTGAATTTTGATTTATTTGTATGAGCATATTATAAAAAATAATCGGCTTGAAAGAAGTAGCTTGCATCAACACAGTAGAACAATCCTTAAATTACATTTAAAAAAATCTAAGTATTTCAAAAATAATGTTCCAAAAATTAGAATTTGAATAAATGCATTAAAAAAAAAAAAAAAAAAAAAAAAAAAAAAATGGGGGTGAGCGTGGTTGGGGAATCACCCTTAATAAATTATGTGCGTCATGTTATATCGTGCGGAAGTAAAACGAGATTAACAGATTCGGCAGACGTTAAGATTTTGCATTCGCGAGAATTAAAAAGAAGTATTTTTTTTTTTAGGAAGTTTCGTCGCTTGTAAATATATGACCACACCTCCGCAATAAGCACACTCGCCCCGAGGGAGTGTCTGCTAGTTTTTTTTTATATTATTATGGTATAATGGAGTCCATAGGTTAGATTATTTATACCGATGTTATTAATTATACATAATATACCCGTCGTCGTTTACTATTTTATGTATATTACACATAGATATGTAAAAATACTAGTATAGGCAGCAGTTTAACATGTTCGGTACACACATACACACACACACACAAGGGGTATTTTAATCGAGTCGTTGCTGAATTTATGGTGATTAAACCGGTTAAACGTGATTTGCGGTTTTCTAATATTTTACTCACATACACATCTACCATCATACATACTTATTGTCACAGTTTATTGCAAAATAACAGTAATTAAGTGGTGCACTAGATTAAAATTAATAAACTCTTATAAAAATATGTATTTTTTTTCAAAAACCCCTAGTATTACGTAGCAATATTATTAAGTATATTAAAAAACCATTTATAATCGTTTGATAACAGCATATTGATATTATAATAATAAATTGATATTATTGGCAGCACTTTCTATCAACCGATCAAAAATCGTGAAACTGGTTTTAAAATGTGGTTTTTTTTTGTATTTTGTTGCTAGAACTGTGCGCTGTATCGTGTACATACAATATGATATTATGTAATAACTAATAATAATATAATAAATAGTTGTAGCCGTGGTAATTACACTGTTATATACTAATACGATCAACGATTATACAACCGATACTTGCCTTTACCCGAAACTCGGTTGTCTGAAGTCGAACCCGTAACCCGGTAACCTTCCGACCGCGGAGGCCCATCTACTTGATTAATTCGAGTCTGACTGGTTTCCAGGCCGTCGATACCGTTTTGAAAATTTGCTGAACCGTTTGTGGATTTGGCCACTACAGCGCCCGCGAACGTACCGTAAATTCCAAAAAGTCCAAATGCCCAGACACATTGCAACACGGTCGGTCGAACCATTTTGGCCATTTTGCGTAGGTATAAATCTAATGACTTCGAGCGACGACAATAGGATGTTGCGAAGTATATAGTCAACACGAGAGTGTGGCAGACAACAACAAAGGATTCGTTGGAAAAATTGTGTGTGCACGATACTTCGTCGTTTCAATTCAATAACTCTTCTTACGAGCATATTGTTCGAAGTGTCGCCAAATTTCGCAACGTCGACCGACGAAAATTATTATTAAATCCCATTGTTTAGAGTACAATTGTGTATAATAACAATAAATAATTATTAAATCATATCGTCGTGTTTAAATCGCGTCCACTTTCCCCAATTACAGTTTTTTTTGTACTTTTTTTTTTAATTGACGATATGACGTAAATTTAATACGAATATGTAATTATGCCATTACGCAGAGTACTTGCGATTTTGTCTCAACCGTCAAAACATTTATCTCATAATAATATATTGTCGTTACGGTCTCATCGTCGCGTTTACTTTACCATTTCAATACAGTATATTTTATTATAAATTATATATACAGGTACATTGAGATAAAATTATTGTTATTCATCTTCTTCTTCATTGTATTATATAGTTTACGCCACGCAAAATACATAATATAAACTGCATGGATGAAATGTGTAATATTTGAATCATACGTAGATCTTAAACTTTATGTTGTTCATATTCAACTACAGTCTACAATACGTTACGGTTATATTAATTAAAATCGAGTGATAAAAATTTTTAAAAATGGACAGTTGATATATTATAATATAGGTGCACACTATAGGCATATAAGTAAAGAATATTGATCGCGACTGTTAATTCAGTTAAATTATTATTACTGTTTAAATACATTAATACCTACCTACATACAAAGTCGTCCTTAGGATTTGCGAGGCTTCTAATAAAGTTATGAGGTATGGTGTGAAAACAATTTTAATTTTCATTATATAAATGTGTATTTGATATTTATACGTGTCTTTAAAATAGCATTACTTTTAAAGTTTTAACTGCTCATATAAATTGATTTTAAATTAACGAACTTTAAAACAACAGTTCATCTCGGTATAGAAGCAAAAAAAGTTATGTAGTCCTTGAATAATTACATCTCAAAAGTGGTAAAGGTTGATATTATGGACGATACCATATCTTCAAAAAGCAAACTAATATATGTAACAAAAAAATATTTAAAATTTTCTGAATATATTACAGTATCGGATGCCGTACTAGTCGTTCTATTATATTTAAATATTCTCCTCCTCCTCATACTGCAGAGACGTTCTCAAGATATTCCAATGAAGGAGGATAAAAAAATGGTTACATAATAAGCCGTAAGGTTAGGTTAGGTTAGGTAAATTAAGGTTAGGAAAATAAAAAATCTTGGGGGATCTATCCCCTTATATCCTCTTCCCCCGTAAGGAACGCCAATGCTCATTATAATATCCCTGATCGTAAAATTCAGTAACTTATTAGGTCATAATATAAAGTGTACAGCTACTTTATTTCTAAGAAATTCCTTAGTTATTCTTTGTGAAACAACAATTTTAAATGTAATGAAATAATATTATTCAATTTTTCAATTTCTTTTTTTCGAACATGATACTTCAAATCTAAACAAAATATATGAAGCCCGAAATTTGGGTTCTGTCCTTTTTCTTAGGCTATGCCTGTATGTATATATTCTAAGCATCATCAAAATTTACAGTTTTAATAAAAATGTTAATATTTTTTAAGTTTTGTACGCAATGTACAATATACGTATATTTCTATAATAGCAACCAAAGTAATTTCAGTTGAAAATGGAAGATTAAGCAAACATAATCGGTGTGAATGAAGCACGATTCACAATATTATCCTTTTGAATACACAAGTAATAATATTTAAATATAAAAATATTACGCCGTATTTCACATTAATAGCAACTCAATATACCTCATAACAGGTATTATTCCTTCAGACCTTGTACACGTGAAGGGAAATGAGGATTAAAATGGCAAAGGATAATTTAATCTCTATAATTTTTTAAGCATTCCAAATGTATATACATGAAATTGTAGTTTTATCATATTGTCCGGTTATTTAAATCGATAACGGAGGAGGTATCATAAGTCCATTGTATATTATAGGTGACACCTTTTTAAGCGTGATCAGAAGTAGGTGGACTGAATCCCTAGAGTCCTCTACACATTAACTTCTACTATTACTATGTATATATTACTTATTCCTAATCGTCTAATGTAGTTATATAAAATTTAAATCGTACAATATAATATGCAACAACACGTTTACCGATATAAATGCATTTTTGAGTAGATATTATTGTAAATTGTTAATTATATAGACATAAGATTTCGGACCAGTAATTTTTTTTTATAATTGTAACGGTTGCCTACTGTTTAGATAAATTTTAAGAGTTATGAGTTTATGACATAAAATCCAGAAATTAATGAATTTATTTAATCTACAACGTTTTATATGTATCTTTTTAATTGTTACATAACCTATTAAGAATTTCGGAATTTATAATACTTTATATGATAACAGTAACATTTAGACTTCATACTATACCAAACTAAAAATTATTAATGTAATTAATATTTGTAGTTGTAAGTAATTTTTTAAAAAGCTTTGAATTGTAATGATTTTATTTAATTATATTCTCTCTTTTTAATCATTAAAATTATTTAAAACTGCAGAACGCCACTTTTGAAGATTTTTTACTAGTCAAAAAAAAAAGTGTTTTTATTTAAAAAAAAAAAAAAAACAGATCACAAAATTGTAAGTAAAATCAATACTTACATCGTACTTAACTCCATTCTATAAAGATTTAGAATAATTTGAAGTAACTGGTATTTGGAGTAAATATCTCTTGTTTAATTTTTCTAATCTTCTTTATGTTTTATTTTATATAATATAATATAAACAGTGATAAGATGATCAAATCAACAAATAAAATTAAATGTCTGTATTTTTAAAAGTAACAAAAAAAAAAAAATTACGCAGGACATGACTACTATTTTGTTACGCAAATAAAAAATGTATAAAACTGTCTTAATGTACGTATAAAAATTTATCAAGAACAGAACAATATAACATAATTTTTTTATTATGAAGGATGTGTTACATAATTAATTATGTTGCGTCGTTTTATGGGCCGATACTCCATTAGCCTCATATTCATATGCGCACTATATTAAAAACAAATATTAATCATTATGTATTTATACTTAATATACCTATAAAATACCTATGAAATATTCTGGATTAAAAATATATCAATATCGTACTATGATATGTTTATGTACCTATTGGGAAAATGGGGCGATCAATAAGTTCGTATCTACGTTATTATCAAGTTTTTAAGCTATACATAGACGATCGGTATGTACCTATTACATTTCATAAAATAACCGTTAATATAATGATGGGGAATGGGCATAAGATATCTAGACAGCGTACAATGTACACACTACATGTACATGTTATAACGCGTTACGCGTACAATATAGAAATTAGATATACATTAATGGCTCGATATTATATATATATTATTATCAAAAATTTTAAAACTATGTATCATTCAAGACTCAAGTTATTAAAATTGTGTTTGATTCAATTCACAGAGTGACAGGAAAAAAATAAAAATAATAAACGTTCTCGGTATAATATTAAGTATATATTATAAACGTATTTATTTACTTATATAGGTTAAAATACAATAGTTCATCATAATAATTATTGATTTAATCGAATTCAATCGATTTTTTATACTATATATCGCCTATATCGATTATACCTAGGTATATCACAACTCTTTAAAATTGAGTCGAAATTTGTTTGTATATTTGCCATTCAATGGAAAAGAACTAAAAACTTATTACAACCCTATTATGCATGAGGTTTGCAATAAGCTGCTTAAAAATGTATAGCTTACAGTACATAAAATATAAATTATATAATAAAATAATTACAAACAAACATTCCGAGTATTTGTTGTTTGTTGAATTTTTCAGCTGTACTCACACGCACATTATATTATTCGTTTACATAGTACATGACTGTACAGGATGGTTTTGCAGAAACAAGCGCTGAACTAATAATTATTAATGTGCTAATTCATATTGTGATTAGTGTTGAAATTAAATTTTAAAATTCCATAAGTCATCATCTTGGTGGAAAGTAATCTGAATCAAAACAAACAGAATATCCCTAAGAAGTTATATTTACTTTATACATGCTACTGTATTAATAAATTGTTTTAATAGTCGTCATAATAACATTTTTTCATCATCTTTCGACGAATTATCTCCATTGGGAGGTCTCTTCAATCTGTTATTCTTGTATTATATATTATTGTATCAATTATGCTTATTGTTAAAATTGCTAAGTAATAAGAATGATAATTAAAAAAAAGTAACACTTTGTGAAGACACACTATACAATAGTCAGTACGTTAAATATTTATACAAATATATTGCTGTGGTGGACAGGGTCGATGGAATTATTGTATCCTGTATTCGCATATATTATAATATTATCGGCTGTAAACTCAATAATTGAATGAATGAACGAAATTAACATTTAATAATATATTTTACAATTTATCTTTATAACACAAAGACACTATGCTTAAAGGGAAAAATATATTCATTAGTTCATTTGTTTGTCTTCTAATCAAACTGAAGTGAATAATATATCTTATTTAATCACCATGTATGTAAATATGTAATTATAGTCTGTAAATTACTATTAAAATACTTTAAGTAAATAAATGAAAGGAAGCCCAGTAAACCACAAGAAAAAAACATTCATAAAAATATTTTTTACTTACTCCCATAGATGCTAATAAGTAACAGGTAATATTCTCATACTTCAAATAATAAAATAAATAACAAAAATTATTATTATCTAATATATTTATATACAATCATATATCAATATTCATTGTAAATCAAAAACTTATTACATTTTTAATATATGTATGTTAGTACCTAATGTTTACTTACTATTTAGTATTTACTTATAAATACGTTAGTTTGTAGTATGACTAGTCTATCTTTGAAAATCAAATTTACGTAATACCAT